ATCGATCGACCGAGAAATATGTATGTTTGTTTCGTGTTTTCTTTTTTTTAATTTTAGATTTTATTATTAAAATAAAACAAACACTTCCACTGATATGTTCTCCGGAACATTTAAAGCACTGTTAAAAACAGTGGTAAATAGCAAAACGGAAAATGGAAATCAACCAATTAAAGAACCACTTCGACTTCGAAAAGTTATGCGAACTGTATTGGCAGTACAAAAATTTCTAAAACTTGAATCCAATAAATTCAAACAATCTATCGAATGTGAATTCGATAAAACAATTGCAATTAATGAGTTGAAACGTTCCTACGAACAAGGCAATTTATTTCATTTGGAGCAATGTAAGAAATTGGCATATTATATACGAAAGTTTACGATTACATTCGATGAATTGAGGAATATACATGAAAATCTGCCACATCAATTCAAAAACTGTTTGGAAAGTTTAAATGGAAATATTAATGAACAAGTTCATTATTTTCTTTGTTTATCGTTAAAGTATTTAACTCGAAATAGTGAACAATTGTCAAATAAAATTCAATATTCGAATATCATTAATTTGATAAAACGATGTAATAATGAGTGTATCAATACTGAACTTGTTTATACATTAGCATATATGACTGAAAAATCAACATTGAATAATGAGTTAATCGATGAATTGAATAGTTTAGTATTGAATCGATCTGATTTAAACGAAGATGCAAAAGTTTGTTTATTAACTCGATTAGAAATCAGCAAAAATGTTGATCGTCAAGATCAGCTCAAAACTGAACATCGATTTAAATCAACAAGTCAATCGAATAGTAAACAAAAGCCCGCTAAAGTCGTTACCAAAACAATTCAAACAGTAAAGTCAACTTACAATAATAAAGAATCCGAAGAGACAAAAATGATGTTTTTGAATCTATCCGATGCATTAAAAAATCGAAATAAAATGTTAAACATGAAAACAACATTAGAAAAAATCGATACTATCGATGATACAAATGGCGATGATAGATCAATGTGGAGAACTACTTGGGGAGAATGTGTGAATTTATACTCATTAGTCGTATCACAAGGACAAGTATTAAAAAGTGATGACAAAGATAATTATTTACCAGATAAATTATTCGGTCGACATTTTTGTACTGATACGAAGATTTTACTGCAGAATCCGTTAGCGATAAGAAGAAAACGAAAAATCTATTCATTTTTTATTAATCGAATGATTGCTGCAACATTACTTCGAGCATCGAAAAAACAACAATTAAATAATAATGCAATCGATAAACTAATGAAGTGCGTAACTGACTTGAATTCGTTTGTTTCCATTGCATTGCATTGTAATGATGATGTGCTCGATTTAATAACCACTTCAATGTATGACACGTATCATGAATTCAAAGAATTAACCGAACCGGTTCTAGCCGTGAATTTTATTACGAAAATAACGAGCAAAACAGTTGAAATTGTTATAAAAGAAGGATGGCTATGGAATTCGACTGAAGTCAAACGAAAAATTTTCGATCAATATGAATTAACTGATATAATTAAAACTGAAATCAATCAACTTCGATTGGACTGTTTAAATGCTATATATAATTGTTCGATTCGAGACAAACGAATACTTACTAAAGATCGAATAACAAAGATTCAAAAATGTTTAATAAATCATCAAGAAAACGATGGAAAGTTTACGAAATTAATGTTTCAACTAATGAGCATAGGCGATTCAAATAATGATTTCGATTATCGAACAACATTTGAAACATATATCGATGTTTTAGAACATGAAGAAAGACGTGAAAACATCGAAATGATTATTAATTTTCTTAATAATCAAGCGAAAGATCTCAATCGAAGTCGAGAATTATTTACCAATAAAATACTTTCGAAATTAATTGAATTATTATTTCTTGAAAACTATGACATTGAAATCAAAGAAGATTTATTGAAGATAATTAATAATTATTTAGAACATGAAACAAACAAGAGTTTAGAAGATGAACATCTCGATTTATTGATACAGTTCATTTTGAATTCAAATGATTCAAGTACTAATCTTGTTAATTTAGTGTTAACAACTCTATTAATAATTGCTGAAAAAGATAAAAAATTATCAAATGAAATAGTCAACGAATTAATTCATAATATGGAATGTTTTGGAGAAAATTCTGCGAATTATATCATAGTTATATTGACTCGAGTTATTAAAAAGGAAAATTCTATTGAAAATCAAGAAGAATTAGAAAAAATCTCATCGAAATTAGACAGTACTGATGTTGCTCAATTAGATTCCGATTCGAACATGACTTTTACACAACGTTCCGAAGAGAATCAACATGGCAATCAAATATCCTTACTTACTGCTAATCTTCTATTATTATCTATTGAAAAACAAGTTCGAATCACGAATAAAACAATTGGTAATTTTGTTTCAGCTTTGAATAGCGCTGATAAACAAACAAAAATCATTTCATCGAAATGTATTTACAAGCTCTCGAAATATATGCCATTAGACAATGATGTTCTTAGTCAACTGAAAGATTTCATCAATGATCCAGTTTATGATGTTAGTGTCTATATTCTTTCAGCTTATTTATATGGTCTAGTAAAATTATCTCAATTTGCTAATCCGATCAATGCAATGTTTATGGATAATTTGAGTTCATTATTTGTTACGGAAAGTTTGAAACTTGGAGAGATTAATTTTGCAAATGAAATTAATTTCAATATACTTGAAATATTTAAATTCGAAGCAGAAAAACACAAATTTGACGATGAAAATGTCTTTGCCCTATTCGACAGTATCTTAACACTAAATGAAAATCAAACTGGCACAATACTTGAAATACTTCAAATCTATACAAATAAGTATACAATACCTTCAAGTACAATCGGAGCTTTGGAAAATTCACTTGGCTTTCCTGAACATTTCGAAAAATCTATCTTGATTTTTCATAATATTATTCGTAATGGTCAAATAGTTACAAGTAAAATTTTGCAAATCTTAGCTGACTATTTGTATATGTCGATCAATGCTCGACGACGATATAATGCATTTAAATTATTAGAAAAAGCTCGACAAAATCAAGATTTGCCCACGAATATATTTTACAAAACTGAATTGACAAAAGCTGGTTTCATTTTATCTCGATCAATGAATAAAAAATCAATTCTCCAATTTCTACAAAAACAAACCAACAATGGAATGCAATTGCCGATCGATACGATTAAAGCATTAGAAAATGAAACTCAGAATGAATATGCGCTACAAGTCGTGTACAATATATCAAAAAATAAACAAATCATCCAATATGATTTATTGAATAAATTAATTGAAGATTTTGATCCTCATCGTGATCAATTAATTTTAATTGGCATTTTTGAAAATGTAGCAAAGAATAATCAAACATTATCATTTGAACTTTTACAAAAATTAGAAATAGCTTTAAATCGACAAACAATTGAAGATGAAGTTTTTCCAATATTTATTTATTTGGCACAAAAAGGGGAAAAATTATCTGAAAATATTATCAAAAAAATCTTGAATAAGATTTCATCTGAACATGATATTATGTTGAAACAAGAACTTTTGACTGCACTGGGATCATTAATTGAAACTCATCATGTCGATATTAAACAATATCAAAAACAAATCGAAGAAATTCTAATCAAAGAAATCAATTCAGATAATATTCATTTACAAAAAGTCTGCATTCATATCTTAAGAGTATTATCTCGATTTGTAAAGATTAATTTCAATCTATTCAATGTGATTATAACAATTGGTACAAGTTTAAATTGTGATCGAACAATAAAAGATGAGATTTATTCGTTATTTACATTGATGGAAGAAAATAATTCGGAATTGACGAGAAAATGTAAAGCTAAAATTCAATTGGCTAATTTAAATTATCAATCAAATAATGATTTATTAAATCAACTAAGAACATATGTCAATCAAGGAAATGATTTATTAGAATTGAAAGAAAAAGCTTTGGAAATTTTACATTTATCTAAATCAAAGAATCGAATAACTAATGATCTTATCGAAAGTCTTGTCCTTCTATATGAAAGTACGAATTCGAATCAAATTAAAAATTCTTGTTCAAAATTACTCGAAGATATCAATCGTAGTGGAAAATCTTTGAATGAAACAGCTGCTGAAATTGTTTATGAAAAACAAAGAAATGATCAAGCTGATCAAATTGAACAGTTATTCACTCAAAGTAATCTTTACAAACAATTAAAAAAACAATTTCAATTCAATGATACACAAATTAATGAACTATTCCGAATTCTCAAAATCAAAACGAACATTTTAGAAATCAAAACCATCGAAAACTTAATTGAAATGTCAATAAAAGTCGATCCGATTTATTATAATAATCAAACATTTGTTTTTCTTATTGAACAAACTTTATTAATGAATATATGTAATGAACTTACATTACCATGTTACTGTCGAATGATCAAAGAGAAAAAATGTCAAAAAGCTGCCGAAATTCTTGACAAATTAGTTCAAATCGAAAATGAATCATCATTATTGCCTGTTCTTATAGAATCAATTTATCATTCATTGAAAAATTATTATTTATCTGAAAATTGCATTATATTCTTAGAAAATCATCTTAATCATACTAATCGAATGATTCGAAGTTTTTCATTTAAAGGATTAAGATCAATTCGTAATAATGATCAATATAAGAAATCTCAACGATTTCAAGATTGGTGTGATTTAATAACAGAAAATTTCTCAAATGTTGGTGTGCAAATTGACAAAATTCCAATGTATTTGGATTTATTAGAGACAATCATTTCGTTGGAATTTATTGATTTAAATGTATTTAAAAAATATGAGAACAAATATTGGATAAGAGAATTGATCATATCAAGTTTATTTGAACATTTCAAAGTACATAATAGAGAAAAGCTCGAGTTTTATAGTCATTGGTTTATCATTGAAGAGATTTTTATGTATCAGAAATCTGTGAAGATGTTGAGTTTAATTAATCAGAAAGTCGAAAATTTCAAAACAATCACAGAAGTTATTGATCTATTTGTATGTGTTCGTACAAGATTGTATGATGACGTGATGCTTATTTTGAACAATTACGAATTTCCTTATAAGAAATTGAAAGAAGATGGATGTATGGAAATGATGAAAAAGCGATTTGTAAACAAAAATATCAATGAAAATTATTTGAATCAACTTTGTACAAATATTTGTACACAATTTAATATGAAATTTATTGAAAATCTTTTCAAATGTTTATCCCGAATAGATAATTTACGAGAATTTGAATATATTATTCAATTCTGTTCGGAGAAAACAGTTAATTTAAACGATTTAGTTTTTCAAAATCTTGATATTACTCAAATGAAGAGTTTAGTTGAAATCGATTATTTATGCAAGAAAATTAAATTCAATGGTGAAAAACAAACTTCTCGAGATGACTTATTCAATAATTTACACATTTTAATGAAAAAGAAATGGACATTTAATCAACTTGATGAATTAATTGAATCATTTAATTCAAGTTATTCAAATCAAAAATTTGAAAATTTTCTAAATATATTAAAACTTCTTAATCAATATAATTTATCATTTTCACAACATGTCAAATGTAATCAAATCATTCGAGATTCGAAAAATTTTGTTGAACAATTAAAAGGATTAAATCGATTAATTATTGAAAATAATTTTCAATTAAAAGGTAAAGTCAAAAATCCAACAGAACTATTAATTGAATTAGAAGAAATTAATGCAAACAATCCAACTTCAGTCAAATATATAAGGACAGAATTACCTAAAGAATTAGAAGAAATTAAACGAAAAGATTTGAAATCATCAATTGAATATTCTCAATTGCCAATATCTAAATGGGAAATTAAACAAATTAACCATTGGTCAACAGAGATTAAATCTAAAGAAAAACAATTTAGCAATGTAGAAGCTATTGCTGTTATAAAACGAGCCAATTTTCTATTTACTGGTTATCATTTGACGGATACACAAATCTTATGCAGTTTAATAGCATTAAAAACTGAATCGAATATTCGAGGTAAATTATTACAAGTTGCTACTGGTGAAGGTAAATCGACTATTGTATGCATATTAGCAATCATAAATGCATTGAAAAAGAAACAAGTTCATGTTATAACAAGTTCACCTGTTTTGGCAGAACGAGATAGTAATGAAAAAAAGAAATTATTTAAAATGTTTGAATTAACTTGTAGTGATAATAATGATAAAATAGTTTATTTACATGGTCGAAAGGATTGTTATAAAGCTGATATTATCTATGGTGAAGTATCACAATTTCAATTCGATTCATTAAGACATCATTATAGTATGTTAGGTACACTCGGTAATAGAATATGTGAAATAGCTATCGTCGATGAAGTCGATAGTATGCTTATTGATGATAGTTCGAAAATTGCACGTCTTTCATCGACAGCTGGTGGAATGGATTATTTTCAAGTTGTTTATATTTATCTTTGGCAAAGATTATTATCAATTAAAGAAAGATTTATCATGTTTAATAATACAATGTATTTAATTTTCGGTCGAATTGAATTTGAAAATGGCAAAATTGCATTGGAATACTGTGATGAGAATAATAATATTATCAAAATACCTGATTTAGAAAGTTATATTTTAAAAAATAATGATATCAGTCATATAGGAGAAATCATTCATGGTGATTTAGATGAATATTTAAAACAATCTTTAGATGATTATTTAACGAATTTAATTAACGAAAAAAAATTAGAAATTCCAAAGAATTATCAACAATTTTATGAAACACAAAAATCTAAATGGATATATAATGCAATTGAAGCATTAAATTATCAAGAAAACATACATTATATCGTACAAGAAGGTCAAATCAAACCAGTTGACTATTTTAACACCGGTATTGTACAAAGTGCAACGAATTGGAGTGATGGTTTACATCAATTTTTGCAAATAAAACATAATTTAAAAATGACTTCAGAAACATTGACAACAAACTTTTTATCAAATATTGGCTTTATAAATAATTATTCGACTGTTTATGGTCTAACTGGTACACTTGGTTCGGAAAAAGCTAAACAAGTTTTAAATCAAGTTTATCATGTTGATTTAGTTAATATTCCACAATTACGTGAGAAACAATATCTCGAACTCGAAACTATCGTTGCTCAAGATGAAAGCAAATGGGTCGAACAAATCTGTTCAACAGTATTAATCGAGACGAAAAAAGATCGAGGTATTTTAATTATCTGTGAAAATATTTCTCATGCAAATCAACTTGGTGAATTATTAAAAATTCAACATCGATCAACAGCCGTTAAACTCTATACAATGAACAATATGAATCAAGAGAAACATGTAGAAAAGATCTTACCCGGTGAAATTATCATTGCAACAAATCTAGCTGGACGAGGAACAGATATACGTACAGATGAAATCGAAGAATTCGGTGGTTTGCATGTTATTATCACTTTTATGCCAAATAATCAACGTGTTGAAGATCAAGCTTTTGGAAGAACAGCTCGACAAGGCAAACGTGGCACGGGATTGATGATTATAAATGGCATGAATTTAATTGATTATAAAAATGTTAATACTAAAGAAGTTAAACAGCGAAGAGATGAAATCGAATCAAAGAATTTAGATGAATTTCAAAATAATGAACTGAAATTAATTCAAATCAAAGATAAACTATTTAAACAATTTTCTCAATTTTTAAATAATGAAATTCGTCATCATATTCGATATGAGCAAGGATCCTTTCGAGCAACTTTAAATGAAATAACAGAAGTATTTAAAACTGTCATGCCAACTGTCTACGAAACAAACATAATTGCAGCTGTTGAAGAACAATGGGCAATGTTTCTTAAACAAATCGATGATAATAAGATACACTTATATCATGCCGAAAAAGAATGCAATAAATTGATTGATACTTTAAGAACAGATTACAAAGAAGGTAATATTATTAAAAATGCATATTATCATACAGTAATTGCAAATGATATTCTTGTAAATCAATGGTCAATACGTAATTCTTCAAAAGCTAAAGATGCATTGAATCATTTCGAAAAAGCTATTCAGTTAGATGAAGCTGCATCTGGTGCAGCTTATTTAGGTGTTGGTTGGTGTTCACTTCTAATTCAAAATGATAATTATAAAAAGAAAGCACTTAAATCATTTGAAAAATCATTAGAAATCTTATCGAATGAAATGGCTATGTTCAATTCCATGCAATTACTTTTAGAACGAAAACAACCGACATTTACTGGTAGTGAACTCTACAAACAATTTATGACGAAAACAACTATTTTAGGTACATATTTGAATAGTATTCAAAGTAATATCAGTGCTATCAAAAAATCATTACGACTTATTGATTTGATTCAAATTAAACAACAATGGAAGGATAATATTTTCGAAACGATCGGATATCATTACGAACTTGAAAGAAATAGTGAAGAAAAATTACCAATTGAATTACATAAGAAAACAAATTGTAATTTAATATTCAATGATTTAACAACAAGAGAAGATAGTGGTACAATTGATCAAGCATTAATAACTGTAAATAATGCATATAAAAAAGGAAAACTCTCATTATCATATGATGACATATCTGTTACATTGAAACAAACAGATTTAGATCGAATAAAAACTATGTTTAATCAAAATAAAGAATATTTTGATCTAACAAAAGAATCGGCTATTGCTCAACTTAAAAGCGAACGAACCATGTGGAATACACTTCGTATGACAAGTTCGTATCAAGTTGATTTAAAAATTAAACCTACTAATGGAAAAATTGAAGAAATCAATGGTAGACAAATGAATGAACTTATGGAATTAATTGAAAAACGAAACGATGATACACTTCGATTTGATATGATTATTAAAGATGCAAATATCAATGAAGTGAATCAATATTTCAAATATACAGCTTATGATTTGACAAATCTTCAAGTTGATTTCGATCGTTTGGATTATGAAAGTTTAAATGCAAAACTTTCTTCAATCAAAGCCAAGTCTTTAAATATCGAAATGGTTTTGACTAAGTCAATACTTTTGCCGATGATTAATCGCAATGTATGGATACAAGCTGCAAAAGTATGTGTAACTGAACAGAAACTCTATGAAAAAGTCAATCGAAATGAATTATTAAAACGAGTAAATGAACTTAAAAATGATGATTCATATTTTAATATTAAATTTGAATCACTACAAGTCAATCAAATTCAAAACATTGTAGAATATTGTAAAGAAATGTCGTTCAGTGTTTCGTTTATTGACATTGATTTGTATAAAAGTATTCAAGGTCTTAATGGACAAGCAAATTTTCATTTTAATAAATTAAATAAATCAACATCAAAAATGATAATTGAAATTCTTCGTAAAGAGAATATGGAATTTTCTCTTGTATTTCAAAATTTAAATCATGATCAAGTTGAATATATTGTGGCTCATGCAAATCTCGAACAAGAAAATATACGAATAAATAAAGTAAAAAATATTATGGAGTTATACACAAAAAGTTTTATGCCTATTGTTGAATTGAATGAATTTACAGCGAAAGGTATCGAATACATGTTAGAAATCAATGAGAAACGATTTATTCCTTGGCGAAGTGTCATAGCTGTTGCTACACTAGCATCTCTTCAAATCCTTGCTGGTGGTGTTCTTATTGCTACTGGATTTGGTGCATCTGTGGGAATGGGTATAATCACTGAAGGTATAGCTGATATGTTTACTGCCTATCGAGCATTTAGTAATAGGCAATTCAATTGGGCAGATTATTGTAAACAAAAGGCTGTTAGTTTAATCATTTCAGCTGTTTCAATGGGCTATTCGAAGCTTAAAGATGCTGGAAAAGGTGTCAAGACTCTTGCTGGATCGGTTGGTACAGAAGCACTTGAACAAGCCGGAACACAATTCACAACAAATACAAAAACTGTAGGTCAAACATTTGTTCAAACAGGCAAAAATTTAAAAAGTCTTACATTTAAATTTACTGGTGTTAAAGTAGGTGAAGCAATTGCAAGAGAAGGTCTCAACAGTGGTGTGCAATATTTATCGACATTCTCATTTGATTTAATTAAACCGCAAATATGTGAATCAGTTCAAACCAAAGTTCAAGCGATATTTTCTAAACCCGATATGACATATTTATTACGAAAAATGTATACACTAGATTTGCAAACCAAATCAAAAGTATTACAATCCAGAATCGATCAAATTGTTGCTGATACAATCAATCCACGACATGATTTTGCTCGTAGACAATGGGATTCAATTGGTGGACCATTACTCAAAGGTATTTTGGCAGATTCGAAAAATTATGGCGGTGCTATCAGTATGACATTTCGAATTCTTGGTACATTGAATGCTTTACCCACGTTATATACATTAATTGATAAAGTTTACGATGAACTGATTAAGAAACTGACACAAATCGATAAAAATACAATGACATTCACGCTTATCTTACATCGAAATATGAAGTTGGACAAAGAACGTGCACAAGATGCAGTGAATGTATTTAAACATTTGAACATTATTGACGAAAATGATAATTTAAAACTTTCGTCTTATTATGATGTTGAAGCTGAATGCATCGAATTGAAACGTAAAATAGATAAATTCGATCAGAAAGATGTTGTCGAGTTTATGAAATTATTCTGTGATAACTATATACGAGTTGAATATGATTCATTTAGTCTAATCATTAAATCTGTTGCAGACAAAATAACTGAACAATTAATACAAATTATTGAATCACAATTAATACAACCATGGTCAACATTAGCAGTTAGTAGTTTAACAAGTCATCTCTCGAATCGAATTCAAGATAAATATTTGGTTAATAAAGATCAAAATTCCGATAGTCAAAATGAAGATCAAAAGAAATATGATGAACTTAAAAATAAAGAAAACTTAACAGAAGAAGATAAAGCATTCATGAAAAACTATAGCAAGTATCGAACATTTGCCGAGCAAATCAATTACAATGCAAAAGATCATTGTATTGCCTTTACACAATGTGAAATAGCTTATAATGCAAAGAATTCGAGCACAGGACAAAATGATAAATCATCCGATCAAAAAGTCCAAGAACGTGCTGATGGTGTCAGAGGTAATAAACCTGCTACCATGGGCGAAATGAGTGCCTTGTTCAAAAAACACGACATTAATGCAAAAGTAGTTACTGATGAAAATTATGAGAGAACACAAGAAGAAATCGATAATGGTGTTGTAATTGTATATGTTGAAAAAGGCAGTAAAGATGCAAATAATGTTGATCAAGTTGGACATGCTTATTACATTGATGAACAGGGAAATCGTATTGACGTTGAATCTAAGCCCAACGATTGTTTTTATGGAGCTTTTAGTAAAATTTTAGAGACAAAAGGTATAAACAAATCGGTGCAAAATATTCGTAATGAATTAGCTGATGATATTCAATCGAATAGAAATTATTCGAAAGTAATCGAAGCAGAAAATTGGATGCATGAACGATATCCACATGAAGCGAATAGTTTATTATTTGCAGCTGGATTACGTTTAGTACCTTCGAAAGAACACGAAAACGATAAAAAGAAATATATAATGGTCAAAGGCAAAAAGAAAACAAAACAACCTTTGACAGAAAACGAAGAATCGTTTTTGGAACATTATGAAGAAACAGCTCATTTAGAAGTTGAGCCTGGCGATCCTAAAGCCGTTCGTGACGCAGCATCGTCATCGAATCCGCGTGGTCACCCACATGATAATCCATTTAAAGTATGAATTTTCATATCGCTATCTAAAACAGAGACGGGCAGCTCCGGAGCGGAGCCAGCTCCTGGGAGCCGGTTTCGTTTCTGAATGAAGCCGGAGCCGGACCGAAATATGAGTTACGAGGTTGGAGCCAGAGCCAGAGTCGGATGAAGAAGATTGTGTTTGGAGCTAGAGCTGAGCCGGCGCCAGCAGCTGTTTGTCGGCTCCGAAGCTTTCTCATTCTGTTGACATTCGATGATTGTGCGCCAAGCGTTTTTGACGAGGTGAAAAAAAATTCTCATCAATTTAATCAGGTAATTATGTAGTAGATGTGTTCCGAATTCAAAACCTAATCGATTCAAAGCTGAATTCCCAATTCGATTTGAATTTTGGTAGATTCGGATGCGTCGAAATGGGGTTCAATCAAGTTCGAATTAGAGATTAGAGAAGAACCGAGAGATTCATTGTTCGAAACGTCCACAACAGACTAGTAAGATTAGAAGTAAAGGGTTTCGAGATGTCAACGAATCCGGATCCAACCGAACCTTCGAATCCGGTTCGGATTTGCGCATTCTTAATCATAATGTCATCGTAGCCGTCATTAAACTCTATATCTTACTAACTGAATTCATTGATTCTATCTCACTGGGCGTAAGAGCTACTAGATTTTGGTTCTGGAGCCGGGTTCGGAGCCGGAGTCGGAGCCAGGATCAGAGTCGGAGTCGGGCGGCAAACATTGCACTCGGAACTGGAGCCAGAGCCGGAGCTGTGTTTTATAAATCGAGGGAGGAGTCGCAGTCGAACATACAGGTTTGCAGGTGGAGTTGGAGCAGAGCCGGAGCGGGAAGAGGCCGGAGCTGCCCAGCTCTGATCTAAAACTGTTTTATGAACTTTGTATAGTTTAAGAAACAATAGTAGTCGGTGCTTGAGGGATCAGACAGTCAGATGACATTTTTTTAGCACAAATTTCGGTCTTTTATGTCGTTCTATGCTCAAAACTATCGGCTTATACTTTAATTTTAATGCAATTTAAGCTGTTTTTTTTGTAGAACTTTCTACTTAAAAGACCTATCGGTTGAACTCATAATTCTTTGAAAATTACCTTTGATATCTTGCATGTTGTTCTTTTATAGAATGCCGTGTTGAAAGGCGAATGTCCGGTATCTCCTGAAGATAGCAGTTACCATCATATCGTTCCAAATAATGAATTAATGGATTTGATACCGAAGGAAACCGAATCTGGACAGGAACAAATACAAAAACTAAATAATTATGTAAACAAACCACATATTAGTAAAGTTATTATTGAGAATGATCTCAGCAGTAAACCACAGGCCGCTCACGGCAAAGTAATTGTCGCATCGATCGCCAATAATCCACATAACTACGTTTATGGCCCACGACCAGACTATCGAGGAAAAGATCCAGGAGGATTGAGAGATGATGAATTACTCGATGCACAATCACCTGAATATCAGAATGATGTTAATACTTATGAGGCAAATAAAAGTCTTGATACGTTCGGTAATATACGAGCCACTCAGCCCGTAAATTGGGAAGCGAAGCGAGAACCAGGCGACAAGGACGATAAGTACTTTGTTAAAAAACCATAGAATCAAAACAATGGGGATATGGCTTGAATAACAACAACATCAATCGATTCCTACGTCCAAATTCATTTGTATTCATCTGCATTTTTTATTATCAAATACTATTGCCATTATACTGAGCGTTAGTAACGTGTAAAAATGCACTTTTTTCGGGGAAAAACAGACTTTTCATTTAATAGTTAGAAGGATTTTAACCGTTGCGGCTCGAATGATAATGAGTGATTTGTCATTCAGACATGATTTACTTCAATTACCAATACATTTCATTAGTCTTTTCTAAGTATATTAAAATCAGTACTTTCTTACTCAAGATATTCTTTTATTTTGCTGTTCCTTGTTTGAGAATGTATTACAAAAAAATTCTCAAAACCAGACGCACTACTCTGAACGATCATCGCTGATATCGGAAAGTTTGTCAATCTCGGTATCAGAGATGTCATCGATTAAGTGTGGCTCAACAGCATTTTCCACAAATTCATCAGCTTTTTTGTAAGTAGTTTCTACTTTTTCAGCGTAATGCATTGTACCTTGCGCTGCTTTATCATCGAAACCAGCAATAAATTCGGAGGCTAATTGACGAACATCGGTTAATGAAAAACTGGTGTTGTTTTTACGGATGTACTCCTTCAACCCAGCCCATGCGATTTCAACCGGGTTTAATGAACAATGGCGGGGTAGTCGCAATATCTGAACGTTGAACTCTTGCGCAACTATGTCGACCTGATGTTCGTGAACTTAGACATGTATATTAGAAAAAGACTCATACTTTATATTCCTTTCTCGGTTTATTGTCGGAAGCCAACTGGAACAATTCTGGTTTTCTCAATGTTGAATCAAATTCAACTTTGTGATCATCCAACCATTCGATTATCTCATGCTTTCGCATAGATCGTTTAGCAGATTTTGAATTCTCTGTTGGTTCTGAATGTCATGTAGCATTGTCGATGATTATCACTATTCGTCGTTTAGGACCTTATTTCAAAATTAAAACGTTAGAAATTCTAATTTGAATAAAATTTACCTCTATCCTCCCTAAGACGAAATGCTGTTTTTTTTACCCATTCAATGAAATGCATTGATGTCATAGAATGATCTTTTGAACAGTCAAAAATTTCCACAGAGGGTAAGTGAAATCCGTTTGCATCAAGCATAGCCAATATAGCTAGACGGATGTCTGTAAGAATAAACAGAAAAATATATTGCTCAATATAGATATTTGCTTATTACCTTTGCCACCTGTTTTTCTAAGCCGACCTCTTCCCCGATTGTCAATCCAAATCGATCTTTTTTCTTCTCCAATATTAACCCATGTTTCATCATGAAACATGATCAAAGCATCACATTCATGCAACCCGTCAAGTTTCCGAAAGTAAAAAGCGCGTTGTGCAACAGAAGAATTATCATCGAGTGCGACTTTTACCTTGTTAGTCATTTTAAAAGAAAATCCCAATCGATGCATATGTCGGTAAAGGGTGGTACGAGAACGAACTGGAAAATCTGTGTGACATGTAAGAAGACGATCGAGAAGAATATCAAGTGTAGGGTAGATTTTTTCTACTAATAGAAGATGGAACTGAAATCGAATTTCGTCATCAGCTTCTTCAAATAAATAAACTGGTGAATATCCTGGAATATTTCTGGGAGACTTCGGTTGAATCGCACTCATCTCGTAAGACTTCGACTAGGTTGAGACGTTCTGTTTTTTTTATGTGAAGTTTTTGTTGGAAGGATTTGTGATGATGATCTGAGCCGTGAGTCTTCTTCTTCTTCCATTTCTCGCAATTCACGTGCAACCTTCATTTCTTTTTTCAAATTAAATAAGGAAGATTCAGAAATACCCAACATGGACGTAATACGCGCAGTTGTATTAATCATTGGAATACATGATCCGTTCTTTTCATTTTCAATAAACTCAATAACACGAAAAAATATTTCTTTGCACTCATAGGAGAAGTGGATGGCTTGTGGCATAATAACAATATGTGAAAAGAATGGCGCAACATAGCACCTACACTTGATGTTAGTTCAAAATAGTCCAATCTTTTCAACGTTTCAATACAGTAATTCTGATTTTCCGCTAAAATCTATTTTTTCTTACTCAGAAAATATTTTGCAGTAAAAAATAATGTGGTATGTATGATACACTGATCACTACTATTTTACACCACGTATATTGTAATTTTATGTAAGGTGCAGGCAATTCAAACTTCAAGTAAAAGTTTTTTTTGCCGTTTTTTTTACATCATTTGATAGAGTGAGAGTTGCTGATCACGAAAAACAACTTTTTACCTTACACAAATATCTTTTTCAGGTCGGAAAATACGAAAAAATCGAAGTATGTCGTAT